TATGCTGCTTTCATTTATCCTAAGTTGTCCAATGTCTTATTTTTATTCCTCAAAACTAGTTTTCTATTTCTTAGATATTAATTCATGGCAATGAGCCAATGGGGAAACTTCTCTATGGCTAATGCTGTAATTCCTGAATTTGAACTCTTTGCTAGAGCCTGAAAGTGTTAGGGAGCCTCTATTGAAAATTCTTTTGCTATCAGAGTCTTTGGACAACTTTTTAAGAAAGAGGTTAGAGGATTGAATAGCCACTATATCAAACTAGCTAGCATGGCTGCCATCATCACTGGAAACACAAGGCATAGATTCTTTAGAATAAAAGATTTTGTAGACTAACAGGATTGTATGCTGACTGCTAAGATTTAGTTTGCTGTAAATTAGTGTTTGAAGTAACAATAGTCTATGAGGGTTTATATTTCTGCATGTGTTCTCCAAGCTCTTGATGCTTAAAACTGTTTTCTTTATTTCTGATCCATTGCTATTAATTCTCCCTTCATCTTGCATAATAGGCTCTGCCTGATACATTTGACCTTCACATTCACAGACTAAAAACTGTTATCTGCAGCCAGGGAGGGAAACCTGTAAAAAAAAAACTACTCCCTGTTTTTATTTAAGATTTTTTTAAAAAAAAGAAGACAAAGAGTTTTGATTTTGTCCAGTTTATTTATCTCTTCATATTCCTTTGAAATAGAAGACTAGAAACCAGAAGTGCATACATTTGTCATCCAAATTTATGCACTCAATTTTTGTTTAGTAACTGCGTCAGATACTGTAGTTCATTTAATATGCTCTGCTTTCCTCTGAAATGAAGCTTTAAGTAGTTAACCATAACTAGAAAAAAGTGGTTAAAAGAATGACTAAGTAGTCTGTAAAAAAACATTGGAATTACGGTCAAAATATGTATAAATTATATGTTATATGTAGTATGTATTGTATAATATGTACCAAGATATACCGGTAGGTAAAAAAATGTACAAACTTTTGAATGATACTACATAAAGTTTTGTTGAATATTATGCTTTTTCATGTCTCAGACCAGTGTTTCCTGACTTTGGACAATTTCAAATACCTTCAGTCATTGGGTTTATGGGTGATGATGGGATTGCAGTTCAAAGTATATAGAAGCTGCTGCATTGGAGAGATTGTTCCAGAAGCTTCTCAGTTTGCAGATTACTTTTACAAAAGCATCTTGGCTAAAAATTCAAAACAACTTTTTGAAAAGAAAGAATATGGCATACTAGACAAGCCAGCACAAGACTTTTGGTTTGCTAATTTGAAGTGTGCTTAGCCCTTGTTGTGACATGCCTATATTTGAGAAGAAATGCTATTATTTCCCCTAAGTCTTTCTTCATATAAATATATATTGCTTACATTGACAGTATACAAATGTTTTAAGTGGTTGTTTTAAAATGTTCTTTCCAGAAGGTGGAATGAAGGAAGTAATAATTGGAGCTAAAGGATTTATCAGTGCAGTTTTAAGAAAAGACTTTAAGAGAAAATAGATTTAGGTTGTAAATGCTTTCAAAAGACTGGATTAATATTGTAGCAATGTTACAGAATATCTTTTAAATCTTAAAATCATCCAGATTCTAAGAAACAAACAAAAATTTATTCTGATTTGAAGAAAATAAGACTCACAGACCAAACATACTTGCTTCATATCATATATGAAGGAAATAGGTATCACTTAGAACCATCTTATCCCTTGATGGATTACAAATTAATGAAAGTTTGGTGTAGTGATTTAAGGTACTGGTTCAGAAACAGGAGATTCTGAGTTCTAATCCCGTTTTAGGCATGATTATGGCTGATTTTGGGTCAGTCACTGTCACTCTCTCTCTCAGCCCAATTCAGCTCATAGGGTTGTTGTGGGGAAAATGGAAGAAAGAAAGAGTAATATATATGTTTGTTACCTTGAGTTACTTAGGTAACTAATAGAGATGGGATTTTAAAAAATCATTAAAAAGCTTCATTCCACTTTATTTACTTGTCCTGTGCAATATTTTTCCAAATATACTAATATTTATATATTTGCAAAACATAAAAAGACTAGCCATCTACATGCCAGTTCTAGCAATAGCACTTAGACTTATATACCGCTTCATAGTGCTTTTACAGCTCTCTCTAAGCAGTTTACAGAGACAGCATATTGCCCCCAACAATCTGGGTCCTCATTTTACTGACCTCGGAAGGATGGAAGGCTGAGTCAATCTTAGAGCCTGGTGAGATTTGAAGTGCCAAATTGTAGTCAGCCAGCAGTCAGCAGAAGTAGCCTGCAGGAGTCTAACGACTACGCCACAGTAGCTCAATTTCAGAAAAAAGCTGCAATTTCAGAAAAAACACAAAATTGGATGTGATTATGTTTAAAAGTTGAATTTTCCCCAACTTTGTATTGTCTAGGTATGGTGGGATTACAACTCCTATGATAGTGACATCAATAGGAATTATGTAAATTGTAGTCCAATACATTGGAGAGAAGCAGATTGGGGAATGTTGCTTAAGATCATCTATCCTGAGAATACTTTCTGTAATTATACTTATAAGAACTTTTTTCAACATCTGAAAACGTTCCAAATTAAATCCTCTGTGTTGAATGTGCTTTGAATGTTAAATTATTTGGGGCTGTAAATTAGATTAGGAAGTTGAAAAACATTCTGTAAGGAAAAATGCCAAACCATTTCCTACCGTTCCTAAAAAAACAGAAGAACATAATTGTGGAGTCACCAGGAATGAAGTTTGATTTAGAAGCTTCAGCATTCTTTTAGGTACAATTCATGCTCGTGGTGCAGAATAGAAGCATGTAAAATTCACATGCAATCTTGACTATATACTGTTTATTCACATTTTGCAGTTAGAAAAGTTGGAGGGCTTCCTTAAAGTTGCACAGCAAGCTGGGCACAAATGTAGGAACTGAACTCAGCTCCCTTTCCTATGTCTAAGGGTTACTGAACTGGATATTAGTTGGATGGTGTACTGGTAAGTTGAACTCTAGGCATGTAGTTGAATCATTTGTTTCCATATCTGCCTGGTCAAAAGATATCCAGACCACTTGAAGAAAACTTCCTTGTTGCCACAAGAACACTTTATAAAAATATTTGTAAACTTTAGAAAAGAGGGGAAAGACTACTTGAAATATAAACGGTGACTTAAAAAAAAAGATTTTCCTCTATGATTTCTACCGCCTGCCTTTTGTGCAGAGCTGTAATTTTTCTATTTTTATAAGCTGGGCTGCAATTGTGGCTTCAGCTAAGCACACACTTGGTTTATGCGTAGCCGTTTTCTCTCTTTCCCTCTCTTGTTTGCACTGAAATCCTAGAGTACAAACTTGCAGTGTTGGCACTGGATATGAAGACATAATACATCTGAATGCTTTACAATTATTTAATGTATCAGAAGCATTTTTAAATAGTGTAGTTTTATTTTTTAACTTAATAGATTTCTGCTAACTGGGAATTTAATAATGGGATGTAAATAAAATAAAATGCTGTACTGCCTAAGCTTTTCTAACTTGCTCATCTACGCTTTAGTAATCATTCTGTTGTGAAGCCCCTTCAACCAATCTTTTAATGGGTGGTGCAATTATTACAAGTAAATAAGATTTGCTGCATTTATTTTTACCTTCTCGCCATATTTATTTTCTTTTCTGTTATAAGACAGTAGTGAGATTAGGTGATTCAGTGGAAGCTACTTCATCTACTTTTAGTTTTAGTTTTGGACAGAAAAGGAAGTGGTGGACCCCAAAAGGTCTAAGCAGGAAGTAAGTCATTAACCATGGTTTTCAATGAGATACCATAAGAGAATTGCCTGATTTAAACTAGTCAAACTCTAATTGCAGACTTGTGCTATATTACTTGAATGAATTCAATGATGATTTTGTGTTGTCTAGAACCTGGAAATCAAGCTTGATTCCTTGTGACTACACAATTATGTTCTTGCATTTTTTGTACATATGTTTGAATCTTTTTTTTTTTCCTGTATTGTACCTTCTAAGCAATATGAAGTTTCAGGAATTCCAGCATTCACTCAGATTTAATATCTTTAGAAAGCGATATAAGCTGAACATAAGATAGGGACCTTTTTTTATATTGAAAAGCTAGACTAATTTACTCTCAAAGAGAAAGTGATGGAGTAGAGAGAAAGACTATTCATTTCTGTCCATTACTGCTGTTTCCTTACTCCCACTGTAATACACCACCGGAATGTTACATCAATAGCCTACCAATTCCTAAGGAGCATTGCCTCAAGGAAAAAGTACTGATGAATTTATACTCTCATATTTTACTCCAGGATTGGATTAGAAAGGATCCTGTGGAATCATATGACCAACTCCTACCTAATCCATCAGAGCCCCTCTTTTTCATAGCAGATTAAATGTGTAAACACTGGATATAAACAACTATTATGTAAGTTGAGGAGGCATAATCCTCCTAGCTGTTGCCATCTCAAAATTCCTCCTCTCCTATCCCAGCCTGGATTTTTTTTTTTTTAAAAAAAAGATGTTATAACAAACATTTACAATATAGGGTATTATAGCAATGAGAAAGTTTAAGTCTTTGTAATTCATGTGAATGCTCTTACCCAGTGCTTTGTGAAACAAAGGTCAACCATTTGATTCATATCAATTCATAAAATATCTCTTGTAGCACTCCATGTTAGCTTAAAATTATAAAACAATTTAGGCAATAATAACAAAATTTTGGAGGAAGAGTAAATTGAGACTTCTTCTGCAGATTATCTGATTTAAGGGTTCCAATGAGCATTGATGGGTGTGGTATATTTTCCTTAGAAGCAGGTATTAAATTGCTTAAACACCTTTAAAAGTAAAATAATTTGCAGGAGGGTAAAATAATAGCATCTTGCCCATCACGATCTGTTGGTGAATTATGTAAGTCTAGTACTGTTTTATGCCTATACATTTTAGGATGAGTAGCGTTTTCTTAGAAAATGTAAACTTGTTCTTGAATAATCCTTTTAAATCTTTCCTCTGTTCTCTCCCGTAGGTGCGTTTATTGTGTGCTGGACTCCTGGACTTGTAGTACTACTGCTTGATGGTTTGAATTGCACTCGTTGTGAGGTTCAGAATGTGAAAAGGTGGTTCCTTCTCCTAGCTCTGCTGAACTCTATCATGAATCCAATAATTTACTCTTACAAAGACGACGAGATGTCAAATACTATGAGGCGCATGATTTGTTGCTCGTTTGAGGAGAGAAGCCAGGAGCGCCGGTCTTCGAGGATCCCCTCTGCAGTGCTCGGCAGGAGCATAGATTCCTCTAGCCAGTACTTGGAAAATGGCATTAGTCAAGTGACTATCAGTGGCAAAGAAAATACATGAATTTTTCTCCTCCTCCAAATGGGGACTGCGGCGGGGGTAGGCCACAATCCAAATGATCTCTGAACCACCTGAGATCACTGAACCCTGAAACCACAGAAGAATATGTTCTCTGTACCAAAACCCAGATCCCAGGGTTACCTGACATCTTTGTAAATAATTACTGGATGGGAAAAAATGTACTTGAAGGGATGTGAAAGAATAGAAGGAGTGGTTTCAACTCTGCAGTGTTCCTTTTAAGTCTGGAAACAGTACAAGCAGCATTATGGAGTCTCCTTCCTCAGAGGTCTAGGCAGTGGTGAGATGTCACTGTGCCAGGGCTGCACCTTAACAGCCAATTGTGACGAGGTGGCAGGGTCAGCTTCTCAGGAGACGGGGGGAGGTCCTCATCCTCAAGTGAGGCTTTATTTTTACATCTTTTGAGGGCTGCCTTCCCCAGTTATGTTTTTGGTGCCTGGCACAAAAGTACCTTAGTTGCCAAACATTGGACTCTCTCTCAGTGCTCAGCACTTCCTTCTGACAAACATCTGTCCAGAATTGGGCATTAAGCAAATACTCCAAAGCAATGAGTGCTTTTCTGCCACCACAACAAAGCAGCTGGTTAGTTCTGTGGTGTCAAGTAAGGCATTTTAGTGGCCCAGCAAGTAGAAGACACTTTCTGGTGGCAAGATGGATTGCACCACCATGGCAGACTTGGAGTTGTTTCCTTTTAATAAAAAGCCACACAGGTAACCAGAATATTAGGGAATAATGTAAACAAGCTTCTCCACAATGTTCCAGTTCTTTACATGAAGGACTTTCTCTTTTGTGACTATCATTTCTGTAATAGAGAGTATTTGGTCAGTTTTGCTACCTCTCTTCTGTCTGAAGTGGTACACCCCAGACACCGATTTCTTTCTTTGGGAAGGAGCTAGGCCAGAATTAGTTTGGTTATTCAGAGTGGCTTTTAAATTGTTTGCTTTAGTAGCAGCCTACAGCTGCTCTGAACTCAGTGGGACTTGCTTCTGAGTAAATATAGTCAGCTGTTTAGTTTTATAAGCGGAACATTGTACATGTTCTGCAATTAAGCATTTTAATAAAGATTTTTTAGGTTGTAAATGTGAGCTGTAGAACCAGCATTTGTCCTTTATCTGCTATTTAACTCCACCCCACCCCCAATCTGTATAAAGTAGTAGTTTCTACGCATGGCATTTTCTGCTCCAGAGGGGCAATATTTAGTAGTATTCTAAAAAATTTTAGAGCATGCTAAGGTCCTCCCAATAAGTTATTCCTTGCATATGTAGCTCACATGCCATGTTAATAGGTCTAAAAATTATTAGCATCTGTTTTAATTGGAGTGGACTTATTTTGGTATGTCATTAAAAATATAAAGGATTTTGCCTCACAATCATTTATGTACATGCAGCCCAGTATATTACTAACAGAACATTAGACGTTTTGTTAGTAAACTGAATTTCTTGAATGCTTCTTGATAATTTCGTGAATTATCAGTATAGTCAAGGTAGTATGTCATAACCAGAAGAAAAAGAGAAAAAGGCAACAATATTTATCAGCTGTATTCGATAGCAGTAATCTTTTTAGGTTAGTATAAGATCCTGGAAAGATTTCTGCAAAAGCATGAATTTGTATATACTTTTATTACAATATTTTAATTTTAAAAAATCTTAATATGTACAGATTGCTTTTCATATGTTACTTTTTAAGTGGTTTAATGCCTGTTGAAAGTATGAAGAAAAGGATTATCTAGTGTTTAAAATAAACGCTTTGTATTTGGTTTTGAGCACCTCAAGTTATTGGTTTTTTTAAAGAAGAAATACTAAAGGTCTAATAACACATGCTGTTAATCTCATTATTGCAATCATGTTTATTTAATCACATGATGAATGGGTAATGATGGATAGTTTCTATTGAGGGGTGGTTTATCCTCCTTTTTCATGCTGCAATTGTCTTTTAAAAATCCTGCTTGCAACTAACAAAAAACAATCACTAAGATTATGTATAATTAAGTTCCAAAAAGTTGACCAAACTGTTCCCATAAAAAAAGGACAAGGAATAGCTGCTTTCCAAGGTGATGGGAAAATACTATTTGTTATTTATACAGTATGTACTCATTTATTCTGTAACATGAATATTTTGGCTTCAGTTTGGAAATAACCATGTATTGAAAGAAAGAGGTGCATTTTCTCTTCCTGTGTGTTCCTGGCATGAAATGGAATCAAAGGAGCCCAGATCAATTTAACTTGATAGGCTAACTCAGATGTAAGGCTCATTCTTTGAAAAGAAGTATTTTTTTCTTCTAAAAGAATTTCATTGTAAGAATGAAAGGAAACATTGTATTCCGGATTTTCTGCTATTGCAACCTGCAGAGGCATATGAGAGAATTTGTTGTTAGATCTCCTAGAAGGGCTAAGAATGGATAATGATGAAACAACTTGCCTGCTATTGTTTGTTACAGCTACATATTTTTATGATTTTACATTTAAGACAGTTAAAAAATAACAGGCCACCCTAAAAACAAAAATATCCTGTCTATGATTCTTGGTAAAAAATAAAAGTTCCAGGATCTTATTTCAGCTTTCTTCACTTTTCAGTGGTATAATTATTCTCCAAACCTCATTTAATTCTTATGCAGATAGTCTAGGTTTGTGAGCACAATTGGGACCAGTATCTTAGCCATTAAATGAAGCCATTAAGTGAAACTGATTGTACTTAAGAACTTACATCAACTTTCCATTGCTTTACAGAGCTGCAGGGTCATACATGTGGAAACTTGTTGCAAAATTACTTTTTCATCAACATTGTAACTTCACTAAACAAATCAGTTGCTAAATGAGGACTTCCTGTATGTATTTTCTTGTTTACTATTGTATCCTTCACTAGAAGCATTCCATGAGAACAAAATCTCATCCCCATGCCATTCGTCCCCTTGGTTCTAATTTTTATATAGCATATTTACCGAGCTGCCCAGAGTCTTATTGGTGAGAGGGGCAGCATATAAATTTTATAAATAAATAACACCATTATCTCTTTTCCAATGTAGCACACTCTTCCCTTACCCTTAAAAAAAAAAAATCTTAACTCCAGTTCTCTATTTTTCTATCCTTTGTATCTGATTAAATTATTTATAGTCCCAAAGAAATAAAACACAAGTACAAAAGTACAAGTAAAAATCTTAAAATACAAAAAACGAAATCTGAAAAAAATGAGAGGAGAATATCAACTGGCTTCTATAAGCCATAGTTATTGCTTAAAGCTTTACTTTTGACTGTGCTAAGGTTATAGTGCTGCACAGGCATTGCTGAATAAATATTTCCAGCAGCTTCAGTCAATTAACATGACCATTGTTAGAGACTAGTAACATCCTGTGGACCAAAGATTGCCTATCTTGATCTACTTCAATTCTTTAATTAATGCAAAATTGTGATGCAGAATAAAGCTATATTTCTAAAAAAAAATACTACTACAGAAGAAGGTACCCCCTCATGTTCTGACGTAGTCTTTTGCACAATACTGCCCCCTGGAGAACATAACTTTCCTGATAGATAAAAACTCCTCCTGATAGTTGAATAGAGGCACTTGAAATAGGAAGGCAAACGTGTGTTGGCTGATAAGAATCTACAAGTAGTTCTATTTCTCCCTGTGCAACCTTGAAAAACCTGCTTCCTCACACAAAAAATATGATTCAAATAGTAGCTTATTGCTTTATCTATTGTATCTCTCTAAACTACAGCTAAAGCTATTCGCCTCTCCCATAATTCCAACCTTATGGCACTTGCTCTCAACCATCTAAGTAGCTCCCCATCTTACTTGAAATCCTTCAGCTACACATACACACCCCCAACCTTTTCCTATATCAATCTAGCCACTCTATGCATCTGATGAAGCGAACTTCAGCTCACCAAAGCTTACGTCTTTTAAGATATTAGTCAGAAAAGTGCTACAAGGCACCTTCTGAGACTAAGAGTGTTTACGGCTGCACTTGTGTACTATAATGGTAATCTATCCACATTAATCAGAAAGCGCTCCATGGCTTAGGGCCTGGTTATTTACGGGACCGCCTGCTGCCGCAAACGGCCTCCCACCGGCCGGTACGCTCTCACAGAGAGGGACTCCTCTGGGTGCCGTCGGCGAAACAATGTTGGCTGGCGGCCCCCAGGGGGAGAGCCTTCTCTGTGGGGGCACCTACTATCTGGAACGAGCTCCCCCCGGAGATACGGAAGATCCTGGATCTATGCATCTTCTGCCGCGCTCTCAAGACCTTTATTTCATCAGGCTGGTCTGGCCTAACCTCTCCCATTCTCTTTTTAATGTAAATTTTAAAGTAAATTTTAATTTGTTCTTAACCTAAATTTGTCTTGGGCTAAATTGATTTAATTTGATTTTACTTCTGCTCTTAAATTTTTGTATTCTATGTGTTTTATCTTGTGCCTGTTCACTGCCCTGAGTCCTTCAGGAGTAGGGCGGTATATAAATCAAATTTAAAAAAAAAAGCCAACAAGAGGGAGGGAGGGAGGGAGAGTTCAAGCATGGACATTCAGTTATGTTATATTCCTATGAATAAACACCCATTAAAGGCAGTGATTATGACAAATTCTGCTATTTTTTAAAAAAATATCTCACTTTTTTTTAATATGCTTTCCCCAACAGTTTCAACCAGGAATGCTGGCTGCTGCCTACAGCTTTAAATGGGTGGAGTAATCAATTTATTATAGTCAGAGGTAAGGTAAGGCAAGATTTTGAGGACAACTGCCTATATAAATAGGGAATATCAAGTTAAGCGATGTTGTAAGCCACCTAGAGTCACCTGTTGATGAGATGAGTACCATATCAGTTTGATAAATAAATCTGGGCAGGCACAACTGCAGGAACAAAAACCCTGCTCTTTTTCACATGCATCGTATATGAAATGGATTAAAATAAACTAACATATTGAGCTAATACTGTTTTCTAGAGAATATAAGAGGAGGTGATAAGGTAAGAACACCAACAACTATGAACTTAAATGTGTGGCAAATCACAAAATGGAAGTCTTATCTGTCCTGCGCATGCCCAAAGTGGAGAAAAATGAACTCTGCTATCAAGAGCACCACCTGGAAAGAGAACAGTGCCAGTGCCAGATTGGTGGAAAAGCCTGATGTGGAAAGTTCCCATTGCTCCTTCTTTAAGATAAATGAGAAATGAGTATGTATTTTTAAGGAATGGCAACTAATGTTAAGCAATATTTTTAAGGAGGTTTATAAAGAATTTGAAAATGTTTGATCAGGTGGTTAAGAACAAATCATGCCTTCCCTTTGAAACTAATCTGGAATGATTTATTAGGAAAAATATAATCAAATATTTAGCTTTGGGGTTTCTTTGGCCAAGACTATTGATAGCGGGGAGAGCCACTAAATTGGATGGGCTAAAAATGTTTGGTTTTTTTTTTTGTTGTTGTTGTTACCTGCAGGAGTTAAGTTGGTTTAATAGTGAAAAATAATGCACCAACTAACCTTTTTCAGAGAAAACTAGATTGGGTATGTGAATATCTGTGTAATATTACGTTTTCAGAGGATTGTAAATTGAGTATACATGGTATACTAATCTCAGGTCACAAATTCCTGATTTCACTGAGTATTTCTGCTCAGTATGCAAAGCTTAACATCCCTCTGTTTTACTGCTTCCATCATAAACTGCTGAATATACTCAGTCTTTTTGTCTTCTGTCTTAATCAGAATCTGCTCCTCCTGTTCTTAAATCAAATCTTTTTTGTTCACTGCAGTTCTGCTAATCTTTAAAAGTCCTATTAAGAGTCTTTAGTTTTTAATATACCACACTGGTCAATTTAGGACTAAGAAATATGGTTTTGTGGGAAACAAGAAAAAGCTTTTCTCAAAGAAAAGCTACTATTTTTCCTGAATCATTCATTTCTCATAGTTATGCCACATGATTTCATTACAATACATTATCTCATATCAATGTGCGAGGAGACTGGGAGCAAGAAATGAACATTTTGTCTGATTTTTTACAATTGTCTTAATAGATCATATTTATCAGATTTGTATGGCCACCCATTAGAGAATTCTAGGCAGCTCACAACAATAAAACCAAGAAACCATAAAAACAAAAACCTGGACCTTAGCTATCCTCGGATGCCTCCAACAAAACCATCCATTGGCTTTACTCTCACAGCTTGCCCTACCTGAGAAAAGAGCCAGCACTTTATGGCCTTGTAGGAAGGATAAAACAGTGGGAGCTGCAGAATCCAGAGTGGGGGGGGGATGTTGCACAGATCATGGACTACTATGGAAAAATCACACTTTCGGGGTCTCATAGTCCAACTGGGAACTGACAGAATAAAAAATCTAGGTCTTTCCCAAACTACAGACAATGTAACCTGTTAAGTCCTCGGACTTATGACGTGAGTTCCTGATTGGCTAAAATGTGCCGCTGTTCCAGCGGGAGAATCCAGACTCTGCCATTGGTTGGACACTTTGACAGCTATCATATAAATAGCTGTCAAATGTGCAAGTTGCAATTCTGTTCTTATACTTCTTCCTTGCTGTCGGTTAAGCCAAATAAAGGCTTGTTAGCTTTGAAACCTGCCTCGCCTCAGTCATTAACACCCCCCCACCGTTGCCCAACAGAGCATAACATTTGAATGCATGACATCACTGATTGAGATATTTAATTATCAGAAGACCAGAAGACCACTCTATTCTGAATTTTTAAATAGGGATTCATATTTATATTGTCACTTATATAAAGAATTATTCACAAAATGGAAGTATTATCTGT